TAATACTAGGTTTCACAAGAATGCTGGGTTGTGAACAAAACTTTCGCCCCAGGCGGGACTAGAACCCGCACCTCGCTTTCCGGGCAAGTGCGCTACCAGTTACGCTACCGGGCACCATTTCATTCCAACTCAGCTTTTCATGGTATACTCACCATAGCTTGTCAGCACTCACACGTATAACGTGTTGAGCCGGTTAGCCGATATCGGCAATGACCGCGAGGCTGAAAGCTTTAGCAGTGAATTTTGACTTGTTTTTGTTTGTTAACTGCTGTTCGCTGGAAAGGGAAAGCGAGGGGTGCGGGTTCTAATCCCGTCTGGGGCGAAAGTTTTGTTCACAACCCAGCATTCTTGTGAAACATTCGCAAGGCGAACTGCGGCCAAAAACAGCAGTTAACAAACAAAACAAGCTACTACTAAGGTCTTAACCTTTAGTAAGGTCGATGTGATACGATGGCGAGACAGGGCGATCAAAGAAAACAAACCATGCGAAAGAGCACGCTGTTCGAGAGCATGCTGATCTCTATATTGACAGCGGTGGGTGGGAAGCGTTGCAGCGATAAGAGCCGATGGTTGCAGCAAGTTCATCAGGGATCATAGCGCCCTGTTTGCGCACTGCAACGAGTGGCGTGATATGTGCGGATCCTAGGAATTCCCTCGCGGTGTCCTTCCTACTAGGAGGGCATATCCCGGGGTACATATGTATGCCTTTAACACGTAACAGACGACAGGGGTTTTCGCAGACACAGGGGTAGGGTTTATGTAGGCTTATGCGAACAGCAGGGTAAAACGGGGCTAAAGTAGGTGTCCGTGTCTCATCATCCAAAAGAAGAGATTTCCGTTGACGACAACTTCGTAACCCGCCTTTCCGCTCTAAAACTAGGGTGCAAAGAATGAATGGAAGCTGTAGGTGACATTATCGAAAAATGCGAAACAACAACCCCGAGCAAGGATGTGGCTATATTTAGGGGAAGGGGTCTCGGGACGTGCGAACCATGGGTAAGCCACCCATCAAATAGTAAACTTATGTAAATTAAGACAAAATGTATGTAAAATTTATTGTAGGTTTGTCAAAAATCCAGCCGTCCAGGTCCTGGGAAGATATGTTATTCCACATTGCTGAGAGTATATACGGGTATATTAAGATTGCTAGAAACATTCAAAAACAAAAGAAATAGTCGTGCGCCACCATGTGGCGCGCGTCCGTTATGGGTTAAGAAATGATAGCAGAGGACTTCCGCTTTTCCACTCTTAAGGCTTCCCCTTGATAGCTGGAACGATTTCAAGGACCTCAACAACCGAGATGTTACTTACGGAGCCGAACTTTGCTTTCCGTAAATTGCTAGCGCGTACCGCTTATTTTGCGTCCCGAGCTTGTCATTGAAGTCGCCGCCGGCAAGCGTGGGAGTCACCCTCCTTTTTCGAGTCAAAGTTTTAACTTCCTCTAACCACGAACGCCTTTGAGGACATGGAGCGCTTTTTAAAAATGGTTATTAGCATTTTATAAAGGCACGCGCAAGGAGCACGCAACTCCTTTCACCATTTTTTTTTCTGGGCGACTCTGGAAATACTAAGAAACATGTATGTAGCCATGGCTTGCGGTTCGATCCTCACTGAAGACGAATTTCTTGCAGCTCTCTGATTTCCACTTTCTTGGTCTCATATATGTTTAAACATATTCAGTGAATAAAACGCCTCCAGTATGCAACTACTTAACCCTGAAAATGCTGCAGCCTTTTGAAAATGTAAGTTTCACTCCTTAATTTTCTGGCAATCCCAGAGTCGCTCAGAAACAAATGATCATCAGCTTTGTGTTCCACGCACGTACTCCTATAACATGCAGCAAACCATTTTGAAGAAATGGTCCACGTCCTGAACGACCTTCTTGGTAAAACATTGCCCATAGAGGTCAATCAAGGCCTTGATCACAATATGGCCTTAGTTTCTAGCGTCGGCCCCATTTGACGTTGCGGACTTGTTCCACCCAGTTTCCGATAAAAAACACTTTTAGGGGTCGCCGATAGTTTTTGATATATAATATCTATTCTGGTACTGAAGTTATTTGGTGCTAAAAAAGGGAGGAGGCGAAAATCGAAAACGAGTACGAGTAGGAGCGGAGTCAAACCACAAACCCTGAACTCCCGTGCGAATATCAGTTCATCACGCTACCCACTTAATCATCAATACACTGACAACCGGGGGCGATCCCATACAGGAGCGCTTACGAAGCCTTCACTCCTGCTTTGTACATACCATGCATAAACATCGTTTTGAGCTATTTTCACGTTGCTTTCGAGGAACTCCTTACACGAACCTTTCAATATACAAGATCGCTCGGGACGGTAGTAAAGTGCCCTAGACTGGCAATCAAATGTGGTGATTTACACCCATTGGCGAGGAATGTAATGTAATGTAATGTTA